ACATATCTTACATGACAAAAGAAGTAAGTTAGGTAGACTTCAGCACATATCTTACATGACAAAAGAAGTAAGTTAGGTAGACTTCAGCACATATCTTACATGACAAAAGAAGCAAGTTGGGTAGACTTCAGTACATATCTTACATGACAAAAGAAGTAAGTTAGGTAGACTTCAACACATATCTTACATGACAAAAGAAGTAAGTTAGGTAGACTTCAGTACATATCTTACATGACAAAAGAAGTAAGTTAGGTAGACTTCAGCACATATCTTACATGACAAAAGAAGTAAGTTAGGTAGACTTCAGTACATATCTTACATGACAAAAGAAGTAAGTTGGGTAGACTTCAGTACATATCTTACATGACAAAAGAAGTAAGTTAGGTAGACTTCAGTACATATCTTACATGACAAAAGAAGTAAGTTGGGTAGACTTCAGTACATATCTTACATGACAAAAAACTATTTCTTTCTCTAAGATAAATTAGCACTAAACATTCGTACACTTAATAAATATCTGTATATTAAAATGTTTTAAAATGGAGGGAATATAATATCATGAGATAAAATTACCACATGAAATAGCTGTAAGCTCGAAAAAGAACGATAATGTTAAGTACATTTAACAATATCATCCATTGTTTGAGTTCTTATTCATTATCATTAATTAAATACACACTCAGTAGCACAGTGTAATTCTAAAGGCTTATAACACTAAAAACCGGGTTTCGATACCCGTAGTGGGCACAGCACAGGTAGCCCATTGTAAAGCTTTGTGCTGAACTACAAAGAAACAAATAAATAAATAAACTCTCTTTCATTACTTGAACACATTTTACTTATTTTGTTAAACTTTCAACAGACGAATATCATGTTAAAAACTTGAAATTAAAATATCTCTATTTTTAACTACTCTTCTTAATCTTAATTAGAATTAATAATTCTAGTATTAGTAGAATATCTGCATTCTTATTCCCACTGTACATATATATTTCACGAAATTCCTTGTCCACTTAAAAGTACTGATGACTTAGGAACAGAAAAATATAAGTTATTATGAACTATGTGAAATAAATTAAAATTAATTCTTCAGTGCGAGAACAGTGTTTTAATTTTTCTGCTTGTTCACCATATACAGTCGAATGTCTTAAAGTTTTTAGATACTAAAAACTATCATTTAAAATAACAATCATTAAAACTACAATCCATTACATTAGTGTATTCATGAATAGAAAAACTACACTTTGTGAACAAAAATAAATGTAACAATGACCCTATGAACTTTAAAATATATTAATAGCATTCTATTTTCTATAATAAAACAACTATTTAAGTTTAATGTTTCATTAAATGTTAATAAGGTTTAAACTGTAAATAACTAGACGTATCAGAACAACAACGTGTGAGTGCAAATTAGAGTACATGCATTTAATCTTACAAATAATATTTATTATTTGAAGCACTGTACTATTAGTGTAAAATACTCGCGCTCTGATACGGGGCACTAAGGTCTCTCGTGATTCATAAAGTCCCAAGTTTATTGATCAGATTCTTCTATTATGTTCAGTTACTTCTATAACTACCTGAAAAAACCATTAGGACACCTGCTTGTGGTACCTGAGCATGTATGCCAAGTTTAGTAAGTGGAAGTATGAACACAGTTTCAAACATGGCGTTCTTGATATCCTGAGGGGGGGGGGGGGTGCAGGAACACAAAATTATAACCAGATGCGGGTTCAGCAACTCTAAAAACCTGCTTTATGACCCCCATCATGCCTGATAATTTTTCGAACGTGTTTTAGCCTCCCTTGGACACACCCCGAGACCGTATGCTATGTTTGGTTCTGCTAGCTCCAATACAGTAAGAAGGATTAGCTGGAAAGAGGCATTGAGATACAGAGAGATCTTAATGGGAGCCAGAAACACAAAATCCTATGCTAGATTCTGGTTCAGCGACGCTGTAAACATACTTACCCTTAGACCCCATTCGTACATTGGTGATTTTTCAGGGCGTTTTAGCTCCCCATGGTACCTCCCCCCCCTTACGCTATATTGATAAGCACACCTCTCGGGACACCCCGATTCTGTATGCCAAGTTTAATCCTGCTAGCTCCAGAACTGTGGGAGGAGTTAACGGCACATTACATGTATATAAAGCAACACGCTGAATTAATATCTCTAAACACAAGAGAAATATAATACCTTTGCACATTTCTTTTTAGAAATTTTGCTGTCATATAACAAATTTTTAGAAAATAGGACGATCCGATAAAAATTACACTTTACCTGAGGTTTCAGGTTTATGATAAATATGTTTCTCCGCATCATAAATTAGTATTAAATGATTTTATCTAGTGCTAAACTTTTTGTTGCTTCATATCTAGACATATTTTAAATATATATATATGTGTGTATTTATCTATGCATATTACTAGAGATTGAAGAGAAGTTATCTATGTTTCAGCAGTAAATCTAGATTAAAATATATTTTATTTATTTAAATGTTTACTGTTTCTATGGTGCGGTAGTTTATTGAATCTGGTGGGTTGTTATTTCACGCATTTTTGTCGTACGTTATTTAATTCGAAACACTTCGAAATTATACGAAGAATAAATCACATTCTTTTAACAGTATTTATTTTAACAGAACAACGTCTTAATTCAATCATATAAATTCTACACAGTTACTGCGTTTACAACTCAGTTGCAAATGTTGTTTGTTAAACTTGGATATTTTTTATTAAAATTAATGTCTATAAAATTATAGGGCGCTCGACTCGCAATCTAAGGGTCGCGGGTTCGAATCCCCGTCCCAACAAACATGCTCACCCTTTCAGCCGTGGGGGCATTAAAATGTGACGGTCAATCCACTATTCGTTGGTAAAAGAGTAGCCCAAGAGTTGGCGATGGGCGGTGATGACTAGCTGCCTTCCCTCTAGTCTTTCACTGCTAAATTAGGGACGGTTAACGCAGATAGCCCACGTGTAGCTTTGCGCTAATTTCCAAACAAAACAAATATGGTTTGGTGACCTACTTTTAATATCAACTGAGAAGCCATTAGTGTTAAAAGGTTATAACCTTCTGCAAATTTTAAATAATGGTGACAATACATTCCTCATTTGATTAATCCACTTGATTGTTGTTCGAGAAATCTGTGTTTTAAATTAACAACTTAATTAATTTTACTGACGTTATAGTAAATATCGAATAACATAGGTATTATATACACACAGCTGGTCTTACAGATGTTAATTTTTTTTTTCAAATTACCACAAAGGTACTTTTATAAAAATAACTTAGTCACACAATAACAAAAAACAAGACTAGTTAAATATAGCTGACCTAAAGAATTGGGCTTAATAACACGATCTAGAGTCATGATAGTGACTCCAGCTAAGTTAGAAAGGTTGATTAACTAACACTACCTTGAGTCTATACATAGAACAGAACCTGAAATATTACCACATCTGTTCCAAATAATACTATACCACTACTCTTATGCTTTTTGAACAGATATAAACACTTTTATATCACATTCAGAACAGTTTTATATTAACAGTACAATTATTGTTAATGCTGGTCTTCTCCTTATTGAAGAGACAAAGGAGGATAGGCTTGAAGTAAAATTTTACTGCTAGATATTAACAAGGACTAGATAATGCTGTAACAACACATATATTAATATTTTTACGAATATTGTTTTTATAATTTTAACGATGAATTGCTTTCCACAACAACAGGGGCAGGTGGGAAATTTGAAAAGAGAGTGTGACGTAATGGTAACGACGCTATATCTGTGCTAGTGGCAGGGGTTCGAATCCGAGTTTGATTAGAATTTTCTTTTCAATTAGTTTAGAATAATATAACATATTAAATTGTATTACATCTGTTATAGGTTAAGTGAAACATACATTCAAAGAGTGGTAAAAATGTTTTATAAATGGAGCATGTGTTTTCACATAAGAAAACCACTTCGGTCTATCTGCTCTGTCCACCGAAGGGAATCGAACCCCTGATTTTAGCGTTATAAATCCGTAGATTTACCATTATCCCACCGGGGGACAACATAAATCTTAATCACGATAAAAGAAAAGTTCGTTTAGGTTAAATTAGGTTTAGGTTTTACGCGATAAACAACATATGTGATCAAAAATCTGACTATATTATATGAAAGGCATTTAAGATTTATAAACATAGAAATAAGGAGTTGCAGTTTGCTTAATAGGACTCACACATATTAGTTTCCACATGCAAACATATCTAAAGACATGGTAATGAGTGCAGTCAAGTTATTTGGCTAGAGTAATATTACATACACATGGACAAACAAAGGATATTTTCACGGTTCTTTCTAATCTTTGTAATGGTTAGTGCATCCATCAGTCGGTAGGGGTATAAATTACTTTGAATTAAAACGACTATTGTCAAAGACTGGTATGGGGGTAAATGTTTAGTATTAATGTTGTATTCTCTCTTCTCATAGTGTCAGTCCCCCTCCCCCTTTAGTGGCTCAGTGGTTAGCCTACGGGCTTATAACGCTAAACATCGGGTTTATATAACCTGTGGTGGGTTCGACCATGAAATAAACAAACAAACTTTGTTTTAATTTATAATTTTTATTTTTATAATTTTCACATATGACACACATTAGCAGACTAGGATAGTCTAAAAATTATGTATGTATGTATATATATATAAAGTAAATCATAATTGGCATTAAATTCAAGTTTTTAATTGCTGAAAATTGTAATCAAAGCAAAAAACATTTCAAAGGTACAAAATAACGAAGTTACAATAAAGAGATTAGTTATATAAAAATGTAAAAAACGAGACAAGTTATATGAGGGCACATCTTGTAAAGATGTAACGTAAAGTTGGGTAAATTAAGAAAAATTGTGAAAAACATGGCCACTTTTTATACTCATGTATAAAAACGAGACAAGTTATATGAGGGCACATCTTGTAAAGATGTAACGTAAAGTTGGGTAAATTAAGAAAAATTGTGAAAAACATGGCCACTTTTTATACTCATGTTACTACAATAAAAAAGAAAGCCAGGTATTCCCAATGACTTTCATTTACACTATATCTTTTATGTGGCTCGGCTCTTTGTTTTAATATCGATCTTCATATGTTTACCTGCCTTTTAACAGTAGCTTGGATTTTATCTGATATATAAAAACATTTCGCTGAATATAGTTTTAATAGTGATTGATTTCACAAACAGTGCTTAATTTTTTAAATTTATTGTTGCAATATTTCATATTACGCCATTTCTTAGTTAATGTATAGTAGATTATTTTATGAACTTCAGGTATCTAGTGTGTGTGTCTAGTAAAGTTGCTTGGTTTTATTCTCTTCAAGTTTGTTAAAAATTTAAACATGATGTGTAACGATGTTAACATGTCATTAAATCCAGGTGCCTAAAAGTCATGAGCACAACTTATTTTGAATGAAAAAAACCCTTGAAAATCGTATATCATACACACTTTTAAAATATTCAGTTTACAAGAAACACATGTGTGTGTGTATTTGTTAGAAATCCTTTGGAAGCATATAAGACTAGCTTTTGAAATCAAAATAAACACTAAAGACTACTACAAAAGATTAACAAATGTCCGAATCAGTTCATATAAACTCTAAAAATAAACGACTGTGAGTTTAAAATTCTTATCCCGGATGTTTAGAAACATTTGGCTCTTTCTAACCACTTAACTATTAACAAAAACTCCAGAGATGTTTTAGGTAAAAACATATGAAAAATTATACGTTACGCTGGTGAGAAACAGTAGCGCGTACAAAACGCTAATCTTAGTAATCATTTACTGACTTGTTTCTCCGTTCATTACAAAATAACACAACGAAATATTCGTGAATAGCAATAAACATGAATAAAGAACATACTACCACCATAGGCTATATCCCTTAAAAGTATGTTATGTTTTACCTCTGCATTGTAACATAGACACTCTTCAGTGGCTGGTTCAGAATATATAACTTAAAATTCTAAAATTTCTACTAACAACTGTGTTTAAATAACGCCGTCTAATTCATAAGAGTGGTGCGCTAATTGCACTTTAGAATAGTACCCTAAGACTTACTTGAAATAAAATCAACGTAATGTAGAATCTATTTATAGAATACAATGCAGGATCTCTGACCATCTTTTTCATTATAAGGTAGTAAGATAATAAAAATCTGATTGTAACATTTAATTTGATTATTGTGAAGAACAATAACTTCCATCAAAGAAGAAATACAAGGCATGAATAATAAAACTTACAATGAAAGTAACTTTAATTTTAACAACTAATTTGAAAACAATGAACGATGGGAGAATCAAAACGAACTTTATCATAACTCTTTTATATTTTATCTGGAACTGACACAGTTGTTTAATTATAATAAATTTTGTGAGCTTAACACAAAAATCCGTTAAAATAGTTATATAAAAAACACTACTTTACGACTGCTAAAAGGAAAATGTTCACTACCTGGTAATAAAGATGTCATCGCTAAACGAGGGAATGTAGATAATGTAGAAGGTGTGCTCCTATTTGCCGAAACGTACGAACCAAATGAAGCATCGTCCTGCTGCCGCATCGAAACGACAGTTTGTGAAACATGCACCATGTTGTTAGTTCTCCTTTCACCAGTTACTGTTAATAAAGGTGTAAAATACTCGTGATTAGAACTTGAAATGGTTGGATGAACAGTTCTGGTTGAAAGTTGAGTAGACGGTTTTGGAATAGTCAAGTCCATTAACTTTGACGTGTGAAATGGAAAGTCGTTAGCCACTGTATTACATTAACTCACAGTAACTGTCAGTCAAACTTCACTAATATTTGTGTATCAGTATTTACAGCATACTTTGATGGCTCACATAATAGCCTGAAAATGGGTCCATTCTGTAAAATTTCCTAAGTGATATTGAGACCAACTCGAATTGAAATACTTCTGCTTCGCTAAGAAGAGGCTTTAATGGTGATTCCTTTTTTTAAAACTGTTGATACGCTTGTTCCACTTATTCTATGCCTCTTTCTGTACTTACTAAAGGAGTTGCAATCGTTTTTAAGGCCGTCAATCGCCCAGGTTCCTTCGGTTCAGTGATTCGCCTGAGCTGTAAATACAAGTATGTAGCGAGAAACCAGTAGCAAGCTTGATTTTCGTGCTGTCTTATACGCCCTAAGGCGAAGAGACTAAATGATGATGGTTATGTATTGCAAAGACCTGTTTGGATGGCTGTTAGCAGTTAACCTGTGGCGAATTACTTAACAAACAGAAACTGCACCAGTGCCTGAAATGTTTATGAATGTGTTTTACACCACTGTTTTTTCAGTTTTAATAATAGATGAATGTGAAACACCAAAATAAAATAACTTAGTAGTTCAATTTGTAAACATGTTTTCAACCAACTTACATAACACACAAAGATGGAACAAGAGCTGGCAATTGTTTTTCGTTTTGTTCTGTTCATTGAACGTGTTACGAATCGTTCAAGAAAGCAATTTTAAATCTGTGTACTAAAACATGCTCTCTTCGCACGTTCGTAGAACGCCAACACTTTAAGAAAAATATTTAAAGCACTTGTTGGCGTTCTATGGTTCGTAATTCAATTTCGTTAGTGAATATCCAGACAAAACACTCATCAAATGATTTCGTCATGAAATTGCTTGTGTACTCTAAGAAACTTCAGAAACAACAATCTGTTACTTATTTCGTATTAAGAACCACAGTAATAATATTTTATTAAAATGAATTATAATAAACTGGCTAAAATTAGGAACATTTATATCTTATAAGTGAACCAAAATGTTATTATCAATCAATATATCCTGTCTGTAGTCATTAACCAAACCCGGTTGTGGAAATATTTCACATGCAAGACACCAGGGTATTTTACCGCTCAAAGAAGGACCATTTGTTTGTTTGTTTGTAATTAAGCACAAAGCTACACAATGGGTTATCTGTGATTTGCCCACCACGGGTATCGAAACCCGTATTCTAGGGTTGTAAGTCTGCAGACATACCGCTGTGCTACTAGAGGGCAGGACCATTTGAGATTTAGATTAGATCATAACGAACATGCCTAAAACTTTCATCACGCAGTTTGAACAGATTTGTAGAGGTCCAAAAATAATTGTCCAGATTAGGGAAATATGAATGGAAGTAAATAGTTAGAAGAAAGTGTCGGCAAAGAAATTGGTTGCAGTAATTACTCAATGCATATTTATTGCGTAAAGGCACATAATTTAGAAAGTTGTAAGCATCATTTGAATATTATCACACATAACATGACTGTTTAATGATTGCTTGTTTTTCAAATATTCTACTCAAGGACTATCTGCGCTAGCCGTCCATAATTATGATTTGATAAATTAGAGGGAAGACAGCTAGTCAACATCATTCACCATTATCTCTTGAGCTAATTTTGTCTGACCAAATAATAGGATTTGACTGACACCTTTATAACGCATCCACGGCACCAAAACGTGGAGCGATTTTGCGGTAACGAGACACGAACATTGGATCTGCAGACCCATGGAAACCACTTGCAATGTTTTTTACGCATTGTTTCTCACACGTTAAATATTTTTGGTATAACCGCCAACACCATAATGATGTTCTATAGACATAACTGGAATAATATATTAAACAATTATTTTATCAATGATTTTTCTTTTTCAAATTTAAAGACAACCGTGGGG